TTTCCTTCCGAAGGCCAGCTGCTTTGATCGATGCTCCTGAGAAGGGTGTTTTTCATTACCTCACCTATGCGGCGTAAATCCTGGAAAAATTGACTTTAGTGGAGGAAAAGTTCTGCGCTTCCGTTAAGCGAAACCTGACCAAATGTGTGTAAGCTGCATGCCAATATGTGTCTGATATTTCTGTCCAACCATGCGCCGCATCTGCGAATAAACACCACTGAATTCTTTGCAAAATCATTGTTGCTGATATAGTTAGTGTGTAGGACTATAGAGACGCCCATATTACCATTGTTATTCGTTATTGAAACGTTAGTGAACGGCATGAAAGTCTCCTCAACGAAGGTTATTTTTTGGAGGATATCAAGCCATTCCTAAGTGAGAAAAATCTCTCAGTCTGAAAATCCTCGCAAGGTAACCCAATCCTTTTAAGCTGATAAACCAAGTGAACATAGCTAGGATAACGGAGCTTGTACGTGGCGTAAAGATCCAAAATCTAGCGAAACCATACCCATTCACTCATTTATTAGAATAGACCCTGATGAAATTTCCAAGGCAAGTCGGTAAGATTTCAAAAAATATTCCTAATCTGAAAGCTGCGCTGTAAAAATGTGAGGCTCTCAACAACTGGAGATTCGATTGCTTCTTGTGAAGTGATGAATCAAGCTTACATCCCCATCTTGTCAATCTTAGTTTGCTGTTGAACCATCCGAATAGTTTTTTGAAGCTGGTTCGTAGAGATGCTGGCGCGTGGACAGTAAGCACTCATTTCACTTGGTCGCCGCATGTTGACTCACTCTTCCAAACTCCAAAATGATGAATAATCTTTCCCGAATGCACTTTCAGGCGAAGTGCTTGACAGTGACGTAGACGCCATTTGGGTTCGTGTCAATTTTAGGTGTTTTTCAATAAAATATCTACTGCTGGATAATAACCATACTAAATATCATGCGCTTGCAATGGATGTCTTTCAATACCCCTAGTTAAGTCAGTCTGTTGGGCTGCCTGAATTTATCTCTTTAACTAATCAACTAATGTTTCACCCCTTGATGTTGCACTGATGCCACTATGAGGAGATTTTGTAATTTCCAGTCGTCCCGTAAGTGAAGTCAGTCTATGCTAAAAGAAACCAAGAACTACGGCGAGCTGGTTCGGGATAGATCGACAGTGTATCTTCTCGCGAACATTAATTGAGTTTCAAACCCACGACATCTTTAGCGTGAGCGAATAACAATCCTGATCAACCCTTAGTGCACTTAGATTTAACTGTTCAAATTACTAGAGTTTGCGAACTGGAGATTCCGTGTAATTTGGTGAGATGCACACTGCTGACGACTTCAAATAAGGAAGAAACGGCCCCATAATGCTCGTCGGCTTTTAACCACGGGTTAATTGCAGGTGCAGAATGAGAGAATACTTCGAAACACCCTACTTTTGACTGGATATCATTTGAAATCGTCTTATGCCGTTTGACTAATGCCATTTGACCATATAAATATACGCCGAAATACGAATGAAAATCTGTCTCTTATCATTTTGTTCTACGCGCGTCAAAGTTAAGCCCACCGTTAAAACGTTCTACATAATGTTTCGAATGCTAATTCCTGCAGGAGGCAATCATTTCCTCATTAAACTACAGATCATACTTGGGTATATATGAGCCGTCATCATACTCCCATTGAAGGGTTTGTAAATGGAACTTTCAGGGTGATAGCCTTTCCTTCGTAACTGCTATGGACGTTTTGCTAGCGAACACGAAGTTAACGAGAGGTTTGAACCATGAAATGGTGTCCGTTTATTCCAAATGCCATGGAATTTGCCATACTTTGGTCGAATTTTCAAGGAAGGCACTACCCCAATAATGGTTTGGTGTAAACACAATAAGGTGTACAGTACCAAAAACAATAAACATTTACACGTTACCGGCCAGATGGACTTGCGTTAGTATATTTGGATAAAACATAAAAGAAGTACGTTACTGGTTTAAGAAATAAAGATACCATACCAATACAAACTTAGTTGATTATATAACCAATCGAAGTGAAAAGAAGAGCAGGAGTAAGGATGACGGCATGACGTGGTGCGGAACTATCCAAAAAACGTCGAGGGGCCCGTAACTCTAAGCGCTAAATCAGACTATCTGAAGTTAAAATGGCAACGCGGACGCCGGCAACATTGCTTAGCCACCAGTTCTTTCAGTGTCTCCGGCCAGGCACAGGATGTCTCGGGGATCACATCCTAGAAGTTGCCGCATTCATATTCCAATTCGCACCTTGTGCATCTTTTCGCGTGGGCCGTTGTGAACAGACAGGACATTTGTTAGGGTGAATTAACAAGATCAAGGGATAGCCATATCTGTTGCTAGAAGAAGCCGCTCCATAAAATCACTATAATGCAGATGTACCAGGCAACAAAGCTGGAAAACGAAAAATGCTTCCTTGACCAAAATCAGGAAAGGATGTCTGACGGAACGTCGTGCCCAATTTTAGGCGTGCGATTCTGGTATTTTGTGGTTATCTGGATTGACCTTATAAGCTCAGAAACTGCAAGGTGTAATTTTACGCCTGCTTGTTCTGCAAGATTATCAGTCAGTAAGTTTTCCTCACATGTATTAGGCTATAATGGTCATACAGGCAAAATTCGTTCAGAGAAACGAAACAATGACAGTCACGGTTATGATGTATTGAAGGATATTTGGAAGAAATCACCCTTGAGTATCTTAATCTTAGGTGTAATTTAGACTTACGTAAACTGAGTTCGAGAATTTGGGGAACTGTCGAGAGTCAAACAGTTTTATTCTCTGATTGTGAGAATTACCTTTTTGGTGCTACGGGTTTAATAATTGTCAACTAATGCGAAGTTCCTACATCGGGGTTGAAAGAGAAACCTAACAAGGATGCTGTACCTGTGACCTACCGACTAGTTTGGCATGGCGTCGTCCTATGTATTACGGTTCAGGCTGTCTGTCCAACCAATAATATCTTACTGAGGTGGCTTTAATATGCGCAAGTTTTCTTGCTGAATTTTCAGTCCAATTGCTGGGTCAGGATTTCAACTTTCTAACGGCAATTGAGTATCTGCATGATAAATGAAAACCCAATACCCCCTGGGTTTAGACTATACATCAAGCAAGGATTATATATCTCTATAGGCTAGATACTTGAACTCTGTAGTTCATTTGCGTGAGAGCTACGGAAATCACAGACCCTCCGCTGCTCCCTCATTAAAGAGTTCATTCAATAAGCGGAAGTTTGGCGTTTCGAGTCCAGTAATAGTGAAGCGTTATTCAAAAGCGGAAATATCCTTTCAGGACACACCGTTGTGATAAGTTCAAATCACGTTTACGCTTGATATAATAATGATATTTGTCCAAGAAAAGATGACGATTGCTAAATTCTAAGGTTTAGGCAAATACCAACAAATGAATTCTTGTTGAAGAGACTAAATTGCACCAGTTCACACAGGGTAACGTGCAAAGTTGATTTCATGATTTCAATCGTTACAGGCTATCTGGACGATGAGAACTGATAGATCAGCACCACCTACTGAACACACCAATGCTGCTAAATGGGGAATACTTCTGTACTCTCCATGTGCGCAGTGACTACATACGGGCCATTTATTTTCATGAATTAATAAATTTCAAATAAATCCACATTCGTAAGACCTGTCAGATAACGATACTGTCACGGAAAAGTGAAGAGGCAATAAAATTCCCAGTGGATATTTCGAATCCTCAATCAATGACCAAAAAAATCACGCATGTGACAGATTACACAGTTTGTCCGAAATCTGCACTGGTCTCATCAGGTAGTGATCAATGTGTGCATGGAATTCCATAATTACTTCTGAAAAGTCTTGAAATCATTGATCTGCTTGTTGCTGGGTAGTGCTTTGTGTTTGGTGCTCAATGAGTCAGATGTGTGAGTTATCAGGGTGCTTGTATTTCATTCAGTACTGAAAAGATAGCGAGTGGTTCTGTTTCAGCTGCTTAATCAAAGAAGCCACCCGGCATGACTCTGGCATACTAAAGTTGGTCGCAGGTTGGCATGTTGACCTCAGATTAATGAAAATCAGGGTTGTTCGGTAACCTGAGAGGAATGTTAATCATTGATCTAAAGTAGTGATTACGACGCACTTTTTCCCGGATTCATTCTATTTTCTCAAATTTCTGTGGTGAGTGGAATACACCCAAAGATGCCTCACTTCAATAAGAGGAATTTTAACTTCTGGTCAGCCCTTGGAAAATATAGATGGATGGGTGGAGATTTCGAGTTCTACTTTGGTACACGTTCATCTGAAACATTTTTATCGAAAACCAGGAAACACGTAGAGTGGCTCGATCAGAGATGCACGATTTTCGAGGCAGTAATTGAATGCAGATATCTGGATTTCGTTTGCGTTAAAAAACGCAACAGTTCCTATTTAGTTTGAATGTAGCTGATGGGTTTAGGCAACAGGTGAAAAATGCAGCGAATTCTTCTATTTGCATCGTAAAGCACGGCAGAAACATCTACCACTCTCAACATTACTGTGGCCCGTCAAGCAATTCTTTCTTATACGATTGCATGAGAACTGTATCCTGTATCCTTTTTTGTGCAAAATAATGAAATTCGGAGACAGGATTCGGCGCGGTAGGTCGTTTGTTACTTAGGGGTTTTGAGAGTTCAGGCGGCTTGGTTAGCCATTGGTTTGTTTACTGAGATTATTACCAACGTATTACCTCCTCTAATTTTTTTAAATTTAGATGTGGAAGTAGGTTTTACACCCGTCAACCGAATGAAACACTTCATTGAGGATACTTTTCACCTTACTATGGCTTCTTCTATTCCTCTGTTGCAATTTTTGAGGTAATGAGAGTTTTAACCTGTGCAACATTATTTACCTTCATCGTAGCTTAGTGTTGATCCGAAAAATGGGATTTAATTATTAAATATTTCATTTCTGAATTTACTAGATCCTGCACTATTTCTGACACCCAGCACCCAAAATGATGAACTTACAAAATAGTACTTCATTCCGATGGCGAAACCAGACGGTGACATCCATTCGGTATCCATCTCGGTCGAACACCTCTCCACCGACTTTGATTACTGACGTGCTGTAAGGCCGCGCATGAGGGCTGACTGAACCCCCACGAAGATTGAGCATCTTTGCTGGAGCCATGTGTATCTGACAGAATGGGGATGGTTTGTAGCAAAACCGGTCGATATTTTAATGGTTCCCTTCCTGTAAATATCCTCAGACAGAATATAATCAATCAACAGTTCACAGAGTGCAATTAGCCAAAGATTGGTATTCTTTCGAAACCACGAAAGCTGACGAAAATTCAATCGGTTTCCGGTGCACGTGTGGTTAGTATAGGGTTGAAAGTGCTAGATCACCAAGGTCACGGAAGACAACTGCCTTCACAAGATGGGCCCACATGCGCCTAACAAGTGTAGGTGGACCAAGCTGCTGGAGAGTGTACTGGACTCGTACAATCAAGGGAAGCATTGAATTTGGCAAGTCGAACGAGAGTCTCGTCTGTGCATTTGTGCTGTAGGGTTTTTCCGGTCAGTTGTAGACTGTGTGGTACAGAGTGCAAAGTGGTGTTCGCCTACCGTGTGGTATGTTGTGCCTAGCACGTGTTCGCTTGCACACACAAAAAAATTAGGCGTACCATTGCACGCAAAGCCAACAAAACAACTAAGGTGCGTCTTTATGTGCTTTACTTCCGTCCATCTGCACTTCGGTCCGTGGTGGACGTAGCTGAATCCTTGCATCCCCAATTCAGGTGGGTGGATTTTGTACGGACACAAACTGTGGAGTGTTGCTAGTGCTTCTCCCCAAGACACGCAGACAAGCGGTTGCACATTTGTCCTCGTCAGGTGATATTGAGATTGGTGCACACATTTTGGCAGACCATTGCAATCAATAGTGGGAATGTTTGGGATTTGGGTCGTGTGAGTTCGTCTGAAGCGTTTGTTTTTCGCGGTGTACATACGCGCATGTGCTCCCGCGCGCTTAGGTACGATGACGGGGCGTTGACAACACAAAGTTCAACGTGTATATAGAGTTACCACTAAGAGAGGGGCAAATGGAGAAACAATGATGGGCTTGTGACAGCTTGCTGATTCATGCTCGTCTAATGGGTGCCTTACGACGTTTTCTCGCAGTCTGGTGGCAAATGTGGTTAGGCGAGTTTGTCTGAAGGAACGAATCTGCTTTCACAAAAACCGGAAACATTTATGGAAGCACAAATGGTGTGAAGAACACATAGCAAGCGTTGTTCTATAAGAAACGTAGTAAACACTTGTGAATCTTGATGCCGACTCAACTGAATCCAGTTGAATATACACATTTGTGACAGCCCGCTTCAACTGAATGTTCTACATCGGGCTGTCTCACCTTTCGATTGAGTCTTTTGTCTAAGCTAGGCCCGGTTGCAAACGACGGTATTTGTCGGAAAAAAGCTACGGACCTTCCGTTATTTCAACTCCCTGCGTAGTATGAATGCTAAGGTAAGGTTGGCACAGCCTGAGCTAACGAGGCTTGCTATTCGCATCACTTTCGTTGATAGGATTCATCAGAATATATGGTTCGGACCCAATTGGCCCACATTCACACTAGAAACTTTGAAATTCACCAGAACAGTTGTGTTTGGCCCAACAACAGTTTATTGCAGTTGATCTCATTCTCCCACCTGGCCAGGAATTTTGTCACTCCCCGAAGAGACCCTATACTGATGTCGTTAGCCCGGGGGGCTGAAGTCCATGAGGCTTTTCGGATACCGCTCTAATTTTTTGCTCCATTCGTTTGCCGAAGTTGATTGAAGCAATGCCAGCTCAAACCCGTTTAGATGCTGATGAATATCTCAACAAGTTTTATCACGTTTTTGGACATTATCACTACAATGAACATCAGTATCATTGTCAGCATCATGTTCCCACCCACCATTTATTCATTTAGACGACTGTGACAGCATGAGTCGAGTCCAAAGTAGTCTAGTCATGCTGTTGCCTGTGAACCGCTGTCAATACCAGCCAGAGCTGCACAGAATAGCTACATACCTAATTGAGTTGCGCCAAGTTAGGTTCTTTTCCAAAAGATGGAGAAGAGGGCGCAACAAGTAGGTTCAGCTGAACTATATTTTTCAACCACCAGCACCAGACAACTTTACTCCGACAAAATAAAACCATGTTGTCATTTAACGAAACTATGGATGAGGAAGCACATTAGACGAGTAGGTGGTCTAGTTCTATGGGCTTGACATTTCACCGAAGCGTCTAATTCCGTGCATCCAATCTATATTTGAACCGACGAACAGAAGAGCATTGCAAGTTTTTGAAAAAGTCTCGGAAATTCTTCGGCGCTTGGCAGACAAGAGCTTGCTGAACCTATCAAACGGTGTCCCGCAGTTTTCCTTCGTTTTATTCGTGCCACTCCGAACTACAGCGCATCTACTCAAGGCGCGCTTATACGAAAAATAAACTGTCATGTATTGTGCTTCTGTGGAACATTGTGTTAAAGAGAATGTATGCCTCCAGGACACCTGTATCTAAAATAAGCTCACATTGTGTTTTCGAGGACATTATCAACAGCGAAAATAGCTAAAATATTTTTCATCTGGTTAACATCTAATTGCATCGGTGTGTCAACCAGCAAAACAAGTCGGTAGTTTGGTGTCTGTCGGAGGGATGACCATTTCGGATTTTTAGACATTAACCAATCTGGATCAGAGTCGCATTAAAAAAAGTGAAACTCCCCAATTCCAAGAAAACTGGCCAGAGGGTATGTGGTCCAAAACCGATAGCCTGAAATTGGCAGAGGTTGATGTGCTCAATCAATCTGCAACCGCCTTATCAGTCTCAGTAATGGAGAATGCATCCTTGCCGGATTCAACGAAGCTATCATACTAGGATTACGGGACACCGTAGTATGAACCGTTTTACCATTCAGTACCAAACCTATCAAACCGTTTTTTAAGCAATCCGTACGCTGAAACAGTTACTTCGCAGTTGGACGCCACATTCAAATCGGAGATGTTTCTTCTCTGTATTTTAAAATGTTCAGGCAGAAATGTTAAATTTTTAAATATTTCCCCTGGTTTGTGTCCTACTCTTTTGCAAGTTGAGAAGCACTTGATGCCAACCAGGTGTGTTCGCACAACACAATATACCGAGCATACTCAGGGTACAGAGTAGAATTTTGTAGATAATAGAGACAGCAGAAAGTCTGTGTTCTCGCTTCAGTACCGAAAAGTCTGAAAACATTTTTTTCGAGCACCGTACACTCCAATAATAGTTATGTATAATCATGCTCAATGTGGGTAAGTCATACAACAGGAATTATTAATGGGCAATAGGTGCTTAGGTAATATGTGTGAACCATCAAGGTCAATGTCCAGGGGCCCAGAAACTGTGGGGAAAACTCACGGAAGGTTCCCGGATGGTAGGCTATTTCCGGCCCCAACATACTACTGCTCTGGGCCGCGCAAGATGCAAAATTTTTGGCATCGCATTCTACAGGGTGTCCTTCCTGAATTTCACACCTTTCTTGGCATTTAGAAAATGCAAATCTTCTCCAACGGTAGTCGTGTCTTTCAAGTTCCAGCATAACAGGCAACTTATCAAGTGACGGATTCGGAATACGAACTGTCAGGATATCATTTGGGGGGGAATGAAGTGTTGATCGCCCTTAGTCTTCTTAACTTCACCTGTCTATCGAAAGAGTGCTTTTTGTGCAAAGTGCGTACAAACTTTCCTCTTTAAAGCCTCTAACATTAAGAATCTTTCTTCACAAACCTCGTTGGACAAGCTGGTCGCATTGGAAATCAATATTGATGTGCCCCCTTGCTTTTAGCGAGTCGCTATTTTGGTAAAATATTCTCTAGTTCTTCTGAGACCAGCCAATCATTATTTAATCTCCCTCGGCAGACAGATTCAACCTAAGCTTTTGTGAGGTTCAGCTCTGTGCAAGTATTTTCAGATGGGACGCTCAGCTTCAAGATTAAGATGCAAGTAGCATCGGAACATGGAGAAAACAGCCCAATCAAGTAGCTTTCGGTTTTCTATCTTGTGGGTCGACATACACCAAGAAATGATTAAACCTGATCAGTAAAACAAATCGTAACTAATAATACCAACTGACATGTCATCCTTCACGAGCGATGTTTTCAACAAGAACACGAAATCCCGTTGTCAGGTCAATACATATCTGGTGGTTAACGAACGGCCAAATAGTGAAACACAACATAATTTCGTTATTGTAGTAAAAAAGGCGAACACACAGGTGATTGGTTTTGAGTGGAACCAAAGTTGCCTCGCAGTTTCATAAACCAACAAATTTCATCCTTCTAACGTAAACACCCTACAAACGAAAGTGTTGACTAAACACCCCTTAAGGTAACCGGTTTCAAAACTTAAGGAAAGACATTTTCCCAAGCTTTTCTTTTGCGTAACTACACGCATTACGGTCGAAAGATTAACCACCTACAACTTGTCTTGACACAAATTTCCACACCGACTTTGAATGGTTAGTCCACTCAGACAATACTTTCAACCGCAGAATTCTTTGAAATGTGGGTCTGCGTAATTAAGTTCAAGTTAGTTCATTTGAACTATTTCACTGGCCAGTTCAAATAAAAGTCAATCGATCAGTAAAAGAGGCTGAAACAAATTGCACACTTGGGTGCATTTCATTAGGCGGTATTTGATCCTGTGTTTAGAAGTGTTCCCTGCTAGCGCATTTCGAAGTTGGACTGCATTGTTTGCGGTTATCAAATAATCTCAGTGATTTGTAATCAGACATCTTCACCTAATGAGTGCATTTAATGACCCGAACAGTTTATGATATACAAGTCGGTATAAGATGAACCAGTAAATTTAGAGACAAACCATTCCACGTTTAAGAATAACCGATTGTTCTTCCGCACCACCTGATGTCCACATCGCTGTTTAAAAACCCCATGTAATCCACAGATTAATGGATGGAACTATTTGTTGAAATTCAGCAATGACCTCGTGACCAAAAAATGTTCATTATGGTTCAGTGGTTGAGGCATTGATGTCCAGTTAGCAATGAGGACCATAAAGTGAATCAAAGAAAACCTTGTGATCATTACTGATCAAACTTGAAAGGTCATGTGATTCAACCGCAGGTCCAAAAATCAGGTGGTTCTAGATGGAACGAAATTGGACCAGTTATTTCTTACACCGAACCGACTGAAGTGCCTGGATGGGTGGGTTAGCAAACGAGACGAGCACCACCTCACTATTATATTCGACTTTGTTTTTAAAATACGAAAACAGAGAAGTGGATCTGTTTGCAAAAACTCTTTTACCGAAACGTGCTGGACAGAACGGAAGGAGAGGAACTTAAGCTATGCTTTGCACAGCAGATGAGAATATGCTTTCAATGATTTCTTGAACTCAGACCATGTGCCTGTCGAGGGCTAAAGCCGTCCGACCAGTTCGCACCTTTAGTGGTCACAGAAATCAATAAGGAAATTTTTTTACCATTACATACCATTTCATACCTAGGTAAAAAACTCGAAGTTTCAAACATTAAAATATACTATTATACACACAGTATAACGGCTGGATGATCCTTAGCTGAACTCAATAAATACATGCTGGTTTTTGGTCCAGTGAAGCATTTGCGAACTACTT